CTGCCGGTCCTGTGACTCCTGCCAGAGGGGCGGGAAGGCCCAAGACAGTAGGAAAGCGGCTTGGGGGTCTCTACCCCAGATAGACCCTCTGGGATGGCTGAGAGAGTTATGGGAGGGGAAGACCTCCCTGGATGGAGCTTCGGGGGTGGAAGCTGCCCCGGTTGTCCAGAGAAGGCTCACTGGGCTCATGGCCCCGGCCCGAGAGACCCTGGCCCGAGATCAAGGCCAGCGGGGCTGGCAGGCAAACCTCAGCTCAGAGAGAGGGGAAGGATGCTCAGTGCACCTCCCCTGGGAGGTCTGATTCTCAGGAGGCGGATTTCTCCGTGTACCGGGTGGGGGCAGGACGGCCCCTGCGGAGCGAGTGCCTCATACCCCTGGAGGTGGATGGTAGGAAGGTGACGGGCTTCTGGGACACGGGGGCGGAGGGGACTCTGGCCCGATCCGACATGCCCAGTCTCCCCCATCTCAAGGGGGCCTGAGGCATCCTAGCCCAGTTCCTGTGACCAGATTACATCTGTGCTGCGCTGTGCTGGAGGAGCAATAAACCACCCTCAATTCCACTGGCTGGGGCGGGGTGTGTGGTGGGTTTTTGGGGGGAAATTCCACTGGCTGGTGCAGTCTGTTTGTGCCATTTCGGGGTGCAGGAGACGGGGGATCCCCAACGCGCCGTCACACAGACATCCCCCGTCTTCTGCCCTAGTCGCTTCCAGAGCCCAGTGTAGGCCCCCTGTTACTCTTCGCAGCCCCAGCGCGGTTTTTGCGCAGCCCCGGTACCAGCCCGAGTCAAGCATTGCCAGACAATTTGTAGGTGCAATTCAGACGCAGCAAGTCCCCTTGGCAGATAAGGACGCTGCCTTCGGTTTGGGTCACTGTGTCTGCCCCAGAGGTGCCTCCTGCGGGGGAGCAGAACAGACCAGACCCGCTCAGACACCCCGGAGCCGGGCGGCTCCCAGACACAAACCGCGCAGCCAACACACTTCAGACTAACACGGACCCCACCGAGCGCTGGGCGATGCACGCAGTGTCCTCGGGACCGCGCGACCCCAGAGACATTCCCAGGGCCCGGGACACAGGATCTCGGCCCCGAGGGAACAGGGAAGATCCCTGGTGATCAGGGCAGAATCGGTGTTTGTGTTTAGTGTCAGGGACGGTCAAATGTTGGATCCAGCGGCACTTTGCTTCAGCTACAGGGCTGGGGGCAACTTCCCTGGGAGCAGCCTCTGGGGGAGTGGATGGGCTCAGGTCTTTTCTTGTTTTCCCTGGTGATTCAGGGCACTCACCCCCATTTGTGGGAGGGTGAAACGCCGCGAGCTGAAGTGTGTGTTTGCGGAGGGGGATTTCGGGTCGAAGATAAGGGTTTACAGACTCCCCCGGCTTCAGTCCCACAGTCACTTTCACAGCCCCCTGCCCGCCCCCTGTTCCTCTGAGCATCCCGTGCGCGGTTTTTGCGCAGCCCCCCTGCCGGTCCCTGTCACTGTGTCGCTCACGGCGCAGTAATAGGCGGCAGAATCGCTCAGTTCGACGGCAGGTTTCCAGAGGGGGAAGGATTTCTCCTTTCTGTCGTGGCTGGCATTGAAGCCTTTTGGGATCCCTTCTCCCGAACCCTTCCCGGCCAGCTCCTGCATGAACATCCGAGGCGCCTGGCCGGGATATTGCACGTACCAGAAGACACTCGGATAACCAGTTACAGAAACGTGGTAGGCGCAATTGAAACGCAGCGGGAGCGCCTGGGAGATGCTGACGGCGCCTTCGGTTTGGTTCACGGAGTCTGCCCAGGAGGTGCCTTCTGCGGGGGGAACAGAACAGACACACTCAGACACGCGAGTGCCAGACACAAACCGAGCAGCGGACACACAAGCGGGGCGCTCTGCACGCGGATCCGGCTACACTCGCACCCCGCAGTCGCAGCACAGCGCTCGGATCGCGCGGGCAGCGCGTAGGGCAGGGCCAGTCCGATCTCACAGAGGGAACGTCCCCGCCCCGCAGCGCTGCGCCCTGCGCGAGAAGACCGGGAACATCACAGGCCCCAGGAAACACCGGCCCTGCCGGATCGCAGGGCGCGGGACAAGCCCGTGACCCGTCCCAGGCCCTGCAGGAGGGAGGCGAGCGCAGACAGATTGTCACTCACCGAGCAGAGCTGTGAGTGTCACCACGGAGACCCAGACCCGAGCCATGGTGGCCGCGCGAGCCTTTTATGAACCTGCAGTTTGGTCGGTGCCTAAACAGAGACCGGTTCCTAATCCCGCAGGGACCGATTTGTCCGCGTGTCTGGCAGCTGCACTTCGGGGGAGGCGAGAATTCTCTCCCGGAAAAAGCGCCTTGTCTCTCGGCTGCCGCTGTGGAAATACCAGGAGCGCCACTTGACGGGGGAGACTCTCTCTGCCCTGAAAAACTTCCCCGCGGCGCTGTTAGGGCGGGGCCTCCGGGGACGGGCCAAGGACACGGGGTGGGTGTCCGGGGCGGGCGCAGAGATCCGGGGCTGGCAGAACGCGGCAGTTCCTTGCGTTTCGTACCCAGCCCCGCAGCGCCCCCAGGCGGCGGGATGTGTCCACGCAGGGGCTCCACTAGCGGCCTGTGGCGCTCAGATCCGGTGTTTCTTTTGCAGCAGAGGTGAAGTGGGCTGCAGAGCCAAGGCAGAATCCATCCCCCGTCCGACTTTCTCTGTCCCGGTCCCGCGGGGCTGCGGGTGGTTATCGTTTCGTTTTGGGGACACGGGGCGGTCTGGGGACAGGTCCCTTCATGACCGGGGTCGGGGGCAGCTTGCACCGGAGTGGCTCATGGGGGGGATTGCTCTACTCACTCCTGCTTACTCGGGATTCATTGCAACCCTCCACCCCCTATTGGTGAGATGCTTCTACTGCGGACTAACTCAAAGGGTGGGGGGCGACACAGATTTATATTCCAATGCGAGTGTTTTTCCAGACATGCAACCACCCCTCTGCTGCTCGGCGCAGCCCCTGCGCGGTTTTTGCGCGGCCCCGCTGCCGGCCCGTGTCACTGTGTCTCTCCCGGCGCAGTAATAGGTGGCGGAGTCGCTGAGTTCGACGGACGCTTTCCAGAGGGGGAAGGATTTGCCCTTGGTGTCCTGGGTGGCATTAAACCCTTTTCGGATCCCTTCGTCCGAGCTCTGCCCGCCGAAGTTCGACAGAAGCATCCGTGGGGCCCGGCCGGGATATTGCACGTACCAGAAGAGATAAGCACTGCCAGAGAATTCGTAGGTGCAGTTCAGACGCAGCCGGTCCCCTTGGGAGATGGCGATGTTACCTTCGGTTTGGTTCACGGTGTCTGCCCCAGAAGTGTCTCCTGCGGGCGGAGCAGAGTTGAACAGACCCGCTCAGACACAAACCGCGCAGCGAATGTTTCAGACCAACACGGACCCCACGGAGCGCTGGGCGATGCACACACTGTCCCCGGCCGCGCGACAGCAAACAGGGACAATCCCCGGGCCCGGAGACAGGATCTCAGCCTTGAGGGAACAGGGAAGAGCGACACTCGGAGGCAGCCCGGGCCCGGCCCACACAGCGAGATGCGAGACCAGCACAACCGCATGTAAGCCCGGGTCTGGGCAGAGCGTTGGCGCTGCGGGCAGACACGACAGACACACTCTGCTATAACCGGGCCCAGGTCTCAGGCCCTGAGCAGGACCCGGCCCAGACCCGGCGTGGCACAGAACCGGAGCGCGACTCACCGAGGAGCGCCGTGAGCAGCACCGCGGAGAGCCACGCCGGAGTCATGCCGGGCAGCTGGGTCTGTGGCTAAAGCGTGGCGGGACTGAGTCTCTCTGCTCTGTAACCTCGTGTCCAAGGCGCTGTCGGAGATGGGGCCTGTGGAGGGTAAAAAGGGGGCAGGTTAGTGTCAAGGAAGGGCGGGGTGCGGGGGACCGGGCTGTGACTTGTGTTGACCGAGCGTCGCAGCGCCCCCGCGTGGCCAAACGTGCCGACAGCACCCGTGACAGCTCGCAGGAGAGTTTCTTTCCCCTCGGGCAGCGACTCTGCCTTTCCTGCCCAGCCAGAGCGGGTTTTCTGGGGCAGGAGGAGAGGATGGTCCTGGACAGGCTCCCTCTCCGTTCAGGGGGAGGCTGCCCCTAGTCTGCCTCAGAGCCTGTGCCTCTCCCACCCGAGACCATGCTCAGGTTCTGGTGTGGACTGGGTCTGTGTTAGCGCGAGCAGCGGTCTCAGAGCGCTGCCCCTCGGGAATGGGGCAGGGGGCAGGTTTTCTGAGATTCGTTCATGGGGGAAAGGGGGGATGGATGGATGTGTCCGATGTTGATTTCATCCTATTCGGTTTATCTTAACCGATGTGAGGAGACATGAACTAACTTCCTTCCTTCCTCCATCCCTCTCTTCCTTCCTTCCTTCCTCCATCCCTCTCTTCCTTTCTTCCTTCCTTTACCTCTGATTTTCCTCATTTTTCTCTCTCAAGGGAATTTTTAGTCTTTTTTTCTCTCCCCGCCTAAAGAAATACTAATGCTGAAAAAGACGTTGGTAAATTTGGCCCTAAAAGGTTGTATTCCCGCCCCTGCGCCAGGAAACCAATTTCCCCAGCAGAGAGAGGTTTTCTGGTGCCCGAGACGAGCACAGTCACCTAAAGTCTGTGTCTCTGTCCGTCTGCCTGTCAGTTTTCCCGCCTGTCCGTCAGTCTCCCTGTTCTCCGAAGAGAAAGTCACTTCAGCTCCTCCGACCAGTTTCCCTTTCGAATATGAATTTCCCGGCGGTGATGAGGGCAGAATCCCTGTCTGTGTTTAGTGTCAGAGACACGGAAATGTGACGGCGGCACTTCCCTTCAGGGATAGCGGTGAGGGCGGGTTTCCTTGCGGCGGTTCTTGGGAGGGTTCATGGGCTCTGGTCTTTCCTCGCCTACCATGGACTACCTCCTAGCGGGACAGCGATTTATCTTCCAATGGGAGTGTTTTTCCGGACATGTGACCACCCCCGTGGTGCTCTGCTCATCCTCTGCGCGGTTTTTGCGCGGCGCTGCTGCCGGCCGGTGTCACTGTGTCACTCCCTGCGCAGTAATAGGTGGCGGAGTCGCTCAGGTCGACGGACGCTTTCCAGAGGTGGAAGGATTTGTTCTCTTTCTCGTGGGCGGCACTGAACCCTTTTCGGATCCCTTCGTCTGAGTCCTGCCTGCCCAGGTCCCGCAGGAGCATCCGGAGGGTCTCTCCGGGATATTGCACGTACCAGAAGAGATTGGGAGAAGAAGTGAGAAAAGAGAATTGGTAGGTGCAATTTAGCCGCAGCGGGTCCCCTTGGGAGATGACGACGCTGCCTTCAGTTTGGTTCACGGAGTCGGCCCCAAAGGTACCTCCTGCGGGGGGAGCAGAGAACAGACACACTCAGCTCCTGGTCTAGTGACGGCCCCGGAGCCTCAGGGAGCCGCGCCGAGCGCCGTTCCCTTGCAAAGATACACGCGGCGCAGTCAGTCAATGCACCGGGACTCACCGACCAGCGCCGTGACCAGCACCGCGGGGAGCCACGTCGGAGCCATGCCGGGCCGCTGGGTCTGTGTCTAAACGGAGACAACTCCCCAGCCCCGCGGGAACCGGATTGCCGGTGCAGGAGCGAGTCTCGGGGCTCTGTGAATCCCGCCCCGCGGCCTGGCCAGGAACTGGAGGCGGCGCAGGGGTTTTGGTGGGTGGGGAGGTAGCAGGGCGGTCGAGGAGCAGGGGGCGGAAGAACGGGGCTGGGACTTATTGTCTAGCTCTGTGTCTAAACGGAGACAACTCCCCAGCCCCGCGGGAACCGGATTGCCGGTGCAGGAGCGAGTCTCGGGGCTCTGTGAATCCCGCCCCGCGGCCTGGCCAGGAACTGGAGGCGGCGCAGGGGTTTTGGTGGGTGGGGAGGTAGCAGGGCGGTCGAGGAGCAGGGGGCGGAAGAACGGGGCTGGGACTTATTGTCTAGCTCCGCCGAACAGGAGGCGGGCGCTGTTTCTATTCCCGCCTCTGCGTCAGGGAACCAATTTCTCCAGCGGAGAGAGGTTTTCTGGTGCCCAAGGCGAGGTCCCTCTCCTAAAGTCTGTCTCTCTGCCTGCCTGTGTGTTCTGGGAAGGAGAAGATACTTTATCTCCTCCCAGTTTTCCTTTAGAACAGGGATCTCCAGCCTTTTGAACCACAAGGTCACTTTTTCAACGTAAGTGCAATGTAAGATCTACCTGAAACCCAAGTACCCTTGTGCTACTTCCCTCCAGCCCTTCTCTGAGGCCTCACCCTGCTCGCTCCATCCCTCTTCCTCCCCGAATGTCATTCACTTGCACAAGGCTGGGAAGGAGGTTGAGTGCAGGTCGTGGTTTGGGATCAAAGGGTTCAGACTGTGGGAGGGGCTACAGGCTTAGCCTGAAGCAGGAGACAGTGGTCCAGGAGAGATTTCAGGGTACAAGTTCTGGGAAGGAGTTTGGGTGCAGGGGGACTCATTCTGGGGTAAAAGATTGGGTGGGGGAGGTGGTTCCGGGCAGGGACAGGGGTTCAGGGAGCAGGCTCTGGCTGGGCACCATTTAACTGAGGCAGCTTCAGGATGGTGCAGCAGTGGGGCTAAGGCAGCTCATTCCTGCCCCGGCCCTGCAGCACTCCTGCAAGTTGCCCCACAGAACCTCACCGGGACAGACGCTCCGACCTTGTCCCCACCGCTGCAAACACGGGCAGAGAGACGCGCTCTGCGATTCTGCTGCTGCTGGAGGCGGCTATGGTGTCACTGCTGGGTCCAGTGACACAGACCCCTCCCTGGGTCCCTGCCAAGTTCTGCCCGGCACAGGAAAAAGCCACCGGGTGGAACAGCGCTGCGAGCCACCGTGTCTAGACAGAGCTCGGACTGCATCGCCCTCTGCCGGCAAACTGAAGAACTGTCTGAACTGCGCAAGGTGGGAGTGGAGGGTGGGGTGAGCCGGAACTGTCTTCAGACTTTCCCAGGGGAGGGGGGTTGTGATCAGGTTTGTTCGTTTATTGTTGCTACGAGAAGCGGGTAATTTCTAGCTTCCGAGCAAGGGCTATTTTGAATTCGGTTCTCTTAAGGGAAGCCGGTTCCGCACTGTTGTGGTTGACTGATAAACTTTGTTTTAGACAACGTAGCGATAAAAGGTAAGTTCATGGAATGTTTGTGTCGGGATTGTTGTCATCTAGTCTCCATAGAACGCATGTGGAGTGAATCCGGATTTAGGCTGCTGTTCACACAGCTCTATGAGGGGCCGCAGATCAGGGGTCCGCTCCCTGGCTCCTTAAGATGTAGCCCCATTAGCTCCACCGGGGCTCTGCCCACTGATAAGAGCTGAGAATAAGACCCCCTCGGCCGCCGTGGGCTTGTGTCGCTTTGCTCCGGCGGGGGTTAGGACCCCGCATCCCATCCCCTAGCTGCCCGGCGAGGGCGGAGGGTTTTTGCGCGAGGCCCAGCCCTGCCGGTGTCATTGTGCATCCACCGCGCAGAGGTAGCTGCCGGAGTCGCCCAGCTGGGAGGCGGAGATGTGCAGGGAGCTGCGCTTCCCGCTGTCCAGGCGCTCGCCGATGAATCTCTCGCTGGTGGTATTCTCCGCAGAGCTGACGGTCAGCAGGTGGGCCGGGCCGCGCCCGGGGAGCTGCTGGTACCAGTGGAAAGTCTGGTAAGGGCTGGTGAACGAGCAGGACATGGTGGCGACCTCCCCTTGGCTCCTCTCCAGCCTCTCGGGGCTCTGGGTCACTTGGGCGTCGCAGCAGGAGACTGGAGGGAGACACAATCACAGCCAGGAACGTGAGCGTAGCTCAGTGTCTGTCTGTCCGCGGCTTTCTGTCCAGCCTGCTCCTTGCAGCCTCCTTCCATCCTGCTCTTGTTCCCTCCCCAGCGCCTGTCCCTACGTGTCCGTACAGCGATACAGAGAGACACGGCTCCTTCCAGCCACGGCTCGTGCTCTTATTGCTGTGGGCGCCTCATATCACCTTTAAAAACAAGGACACTAAATGCTAACAAAGAGCCCAAGCGCTATGGGTGTTGGAACAGATCAATCGCCCAGACGTGTCCCCTTGGTCGCCTCCTCTGAGGAGGAGCGAGAGAGGTATGGGGATACATAGATTGTCTGGAGATGGATAGATAGACAGACAGACAAGGTGTCTGGAGGTGAATGGACGGATAGTGGGGAAGACAGACAAAGTGTATTGGGTGGGTGGGTGGACAGACACACAGACCTCTACTGACAGCAAAGCAGAAGCGCTGAGAGTTCTACCCCCTCACTGGTTCGCGAGACCCTGCTCCGCTGCGCCCTTGGGAATGGGACAAAGATGGTTTCACTCACAGAGGCAAAGAGCGGCCAGGAGAAGGCCCGTCAGGGCAGCTTCGCTCCCCGGGGCCATGCGCCGCGCTGTATCTTCGCTCTCTCGCAGCTACTCAGTCCGGGGAAGGGCTGCAGGAGCCCAGCGGGAGCGGGAATTCTTCCTCCCGGGGTCTCCCGGCGTCTCCCGGGGGGAGAGGCTGAGCTCCAGAGGCTGTCGGGTCCTTGTGCGTCCCCTCGGCAGTGCAGCAGCCAGGAGCGATCTGGCGCCCCCTGTTGCCCGAAGACAGAAGGGTCGGAGTAAATTCTGTGCTGCGTTAGAAATCCCTTTGAGCGGGTAACAAACCCAGCGCCTAGGGCAGAGCTGCAGATGTGTTTTGTCTCGACTGGAGTAAGACTTATGACACGTGCTCACGGTTCCTAAGGTGAAGAGAGACCATTGTGACCGTCTCCTCTGACCCCCCCCTCCCCTGCTTTATTGCAGGCCAGAGAAAGATCTGCGGGGACTCCTGCACCCCCCGCCCGTATCTGGTGTCTCATTAAGCAGAGAGACCTCCAGTCTTCAGATTTCAAATGCTGGCGAGTGCGCCGTGTCCCTGGGTAAGCTGTGTCCCTGTTTAATTACCCTCCCGGGGACAAAAGGGCACTTTATCTCTAGGCCCAACCAACCCCGCTCTGCTTCCCACCCAAGGGCTCTCCCTCTGCCTTTGGCTCCTTCCAGCGCCTCCTTGCAGTGACTTTCTGCGAACCATTGCGGTGCCGCCTCTTCCCAGAACTCAGGGCGAGATTCGTGTCTCCAGTCAGGAAGCTGTGACAGCCCACTTCATAGTCTCCCCACACACACAACCCCCACCGCTTTCCTGCCTGCTAACTTCACCTGGGAGGAGTCAGGTCCCTGCAGTAGCGGAGCGGGGCCAGGTTTTTGTACAGGGCCCTCTATTCATTTCCACACTGTGCCTCTACTGAAAGCACAGAAGTACGTGGCCGCGTCCCCCAACTCCAGAGCCGTGATCCTCAAACTGATGGAGCTTTTGTCTTTCTGGAAATTGACAGAGAATCTCTCCCCTGCCTCGTTGCTCTTTGTTCCTCCAGAATGTTGCCAAAAGAGGAGAATCAGGCTTCCCCGGGGGGGCTGTTTGTACCAGTACAGGTAATAGTTGCTGAACGATGTTTCATAAGTGCAATCCAGGGACACAGACTCGCGCTCCAGATCCGATGCCGAGGGCTGGGTCTGAGTGACGGAATCTTCCATGCTGGAGCCTGGCACAAGGAGAGAGAAAGGAGAGGTCAGTCGGGGGTCGCTGTGAGTGCGGGGAGCTCCTGGGAGCTGGATTTTTAAGGGAAGCAGGAAAATGTCGTGGTGACCTCCAGAGTCCATGTGCTGCCTCCCCCCATGCTGAGACCCTGCGCCCTTCCCTGCCCGGTGCTTGTCCAGCCTCCTCTTCCACCCTCCAGACCACACCCTGGCCAGAGCTCAACTCTCCTGAGAGTCAGAAAGTTTTTCTAAACATGAGATCGAAATCTCCCCCCCGCCAGCTGAGCCCCTGGCGGCTTGTCCTGCGCTCGGTGTTCATGGGGGAGGGCAGGTCGCCCCGCTCCTTAGCCAGACTCCTGGAGTCCATTGAAATGCAGTTTCCATGGGATTGGGGCCCCTGAGTCCACATCTCATATTGCGGAGGCGGAGGAGAAGGAGGAGGAGGAAGGGCTGTTTAATCGCCCAGCGCCCCTAGCGAAGGTGGAGGTAGGCAGAACCTTTCCCAAGTTGGAACCAGGCCCTGACTCACTGAAAAGCAAAACCAGCACCAGGGCTGAGCCCCAGATGGCGAACATGCCCCCGGGATCTCGTTGCTGCTCCGGCCTCTGAGGGAGTCTCTTGTGGAGTGGGAGGGAGGAAGCTGTTGTGAGAGCGGGGTGGGTTGGAAACCTGGCAGTGATGTCACAGCCGGGGGTCGGGAGCAACTCCTCCCCCCGACATGTGCCCTGCAGCTGCACCAAGCGGAGCTGGAGCCAGGGAGCTGCTGCCCCGCCCCCCACCCGAGAGTTAAGTGGTTCCCTCCTAGGCAGAGTTACAGTTTTTTTCAATGGGTCTCAGTCCATCCCCCCCCTCGTCTCAGCCGCCATGTGCCTTCCTGAGCCTGGGGGGTGCCGGAGAAGGAGACCCTGGAGCATCCAGTGTCTGAAGCAAACCGGTGCCCCTGTCTCCACAGAGCATCTCTGCTTGTACTGCAGCGCCCCCTGCAGGACATCAGCGAGCACTGGCCAGAGAGCCAGGACAGCACACACCTGTGACGGCGCGTTGGGGGTCCCCCGTCTCCTGCACCCCGAAATGGCACAGACTGCCCCAGGCGGTGGAATAGAGGAAGTTTATTGCCTCTCCAGGTTACAGCACAGATGTAATCTGGTCACAGAGCTGGGCTAGGCTGCCTCAGGCCCCCTTGAGATGGGGGAAACTGGGCCCCTAAACTCCAGCCCCTTCCCTAGGCTGTCTCCTCCATGCTTTCAGCCAGCAACTAACTCTCTTCCAGCCCTGCCCCCCAGCCAGGGCACCATCCACCTTCCTTTGTTCCTCTCCATGGGGGGTGTCTGGCCACTGGTTCAACAAGTTTGGCATTACCCCCCCAGCCAGTGGGGGTTACCCCAGAGCCAGCAGCATAGAAACCAGCCAGGTACCCCCACTACGTCACAACACCGCACGCGCCTCGCCTCTGCCCCAGCTTCTCTTCCCAGAGCTGATCCCGTTTCCCCGCCCCCCCCACGTGCCCCAGAGAAGAGACCCCCCCCTCCCCGCAGGATGGATCCCTGGTGTTTGCGTGTTGTGGCCGCAGGCTGTTGGGTGCTAAGTAGCAGAGACCGGCACCAGCACCCCCGGACCAACCTCTGCTTCCCTCAGACCAAACCAGGGGGCATCAAACCCGCAGTGCCAGAGGCTTCTGAATGGACCCCCTTAAAAAACCAGGCTGACAGAGGAGTCACGTGGTGCGTGGGCCTTTTGGCCCATCCACTGCACAAGTTGAGCTGTGTTTCACTCTGGGGAGTGAGGCACTTAAATCCCCCCTTGAGTTTTTATAGAATCCAGGTGCCTAAACCCAAGAGGCGCCTATGACAATTCCAACCTCCGCAGCCAGGGGTGTGAGCAGCAGGCGGGTGGATGTGTGAGGGCAGACTGGACCGCTGTGGCCTTGTATCTATTCTCCCGTGCCACACAGGCCAGAGACTTTCACGCTGTGCTCCCTGCACCATTGATAGGGTTCATGGCGGAGCTTGAGCGTGTTTTCCAAAAAGCGAAATCCAGGCCGGGTTCGAACCATCCGAGTGGCGAAGAACCCGGCACCTCATCAGATACGTTGACACTTGAGTTTGCCCCGGTTTAGTGTCCAGCCCCCGGGGCTCACTCTGACTTTGTCTGCTGGATGAAAGACCCTCCTGGTACCAGAGATTCTCCCCCCACAAAAGTCCTTCCGGACTCTGGGCTCATTCTACTTTGTCTCTTGCCAGCTGTGCCCCTGGCGGTGAATTTCTGAGTGGAGCTGTGGTGCAGATTCCCAGAAACCAGTGAGAGGCTTTCATCTGCAAGAAGCCAGCTGCAGCCGGGCCCCCTTCCCCGCCACCTCTCCCCACCTGCACCGCCTTTTTCCTGCCTCTGGCTTCCTGACTTCGTATGCAGGGGTCGGTTTCCCAGGGCAGGAGACAGCTGGAGGGTTTTTGTGCAGGGATCTGTGTTCATCACAGCACCGTGAGTCTCTACTGAGAGCGCAGAAGTACCCGGCGGAGTCCCTCGGCTCCAAGCCCGTGATCCTCAGACTGATGGAGCTTTGGGATTTCTTGAAGTCCGCAGAGAATCTCGGCCCGGCCTCGTTCTTCTTTGACTTTCTTGAAGTCTGCAGAGAATCTCTCCCCGGCCTGGTTCTCACGTGTTCCTCCGGAATATTCCCACAGTAGGAAAACGGGCTTCTCTGCTGGCTGCTGTTTGTACCAGTACAAGGTGTAGTAGCTGGCGTCAGTTTCGTAGGTGCAATCCAAGGTCACTGCCCCACCCTCGTGGCGCGCCGCTGCCGGCGGGGTCTGCCTCACAGTGTCTTCCATGCTGGGGCCTGGGACACAGAGCGGGGAAGGAGAGGTGGGTCACAGGACGCTGCCCCGGGGCTTATTTACGGAGAGTCCCTCCCTGATGAGCCTGCTAATAAATTTCTGTCTCCCTGCCCTGCCTCAGGCATGGTCCCTTATTGGGCTTTGCACGGCCCTGCCTCTAGCTGGGAACCACAATACACATCCGCACGGGGACCTGGCAGCGAATATCCAGTATTATTGTTACTCCTCGAACCCCACCGCCCGCTCCACTCCGGCCCCGGGGACTCCCGTTGTAACGTTTCCTCGAGGGAAGGGCTGGGCACATGGTGATATTTCCCACTGCATAAGCACGGCCAGAGTGGGCCAGACCAGAGGTTCATCCAGCCCCGTGCCCTGTGTTCCGACAGTGGCCAATGCCCGCCACTCAACAGGGATCTTCAGGCGGAGATTTGACAGAGAACTAGGTACCCAAATCCCAGCTTTGAAAATCCTCCCACTGCTCCCCAACCCGCGCTCCCCTTCTGCTCTGGCTCCGAGGTCACAAGACCCCAGGGGCAGAGTCTCTATTTACCGAGCAAGGCCAAGGCCATCAGAGCCCAGAGCAGGTTTTCTTCCTTCATCATGAGGTTTCCAGCTCTGCCAGAGTATGACACTTTCTCTTCTCTGCCTCAGGGGCTTGTTAGCTCTCGGGCTGGCTGCATGGTCCTGGAGTGACAACCCCCCGGCCCGTGACTGTTTTGCTGCCACAGGCAAATGGTGTTTCCGGTTTGGCTGTCAATTGGGGGAATCCCACACAACCTGAGATCCTGGATCTGGTACCTGAACCACAGCGCCCCCTAGTGTCAGATTCACATTAGAGTAGAGACCCGCTATAGAGAGTCCCACACAGTTCCCTGCACCACAGCGCCTCCTAGTCCCCTGCTGGGGTACTGAAGTAAGTCAATTGCTTAGCTTATTTCAAATTAGCTTATTTGGAATTTTGGTGCTGTCTACATAGAACTTATTTTGGAATAGAGCACTCTTACTCTGACTTCCCTTACTCTAAATACAATGAGGGTAGGTCTACACTAGCCCCCTAGTTCTAAGAGGATTTAAATATCATGCGCTTGATTAGCATGTTCCCAGACCCTTGCCATTTTGGAAACTGACTAGCCTGAGTAACTTCCCGCCTCTACACTCAGCAGAGAAGCACGATTCTGAGAGAAACCCCTTTTTCAAATTAACTGTTAAACCTCAGCTACCAGCCGGGAATATGCTAATCAAGCGCAGGATATTTACATCCCCCGCTTCATTAGCAATTTCAGTCTCCCTCATTAGCCTCCCTAGTTCCAACTAGGGGTCTATTATAGACTTATCCTGAGAGTTACAGGAGTCGAAGTAAGAAGTCCTCAAGCTTCACAGTATGTTGACGTTATGTGGCAATAACTGCTGGCTGAGTAGACGTGGATGATGTGTAGACACAGCTCCAACACCATCCCATGAATTATCCGGTGTCCCAGCCAAACCCCATGTAAAGACTTGAAGCAAAGGGAGCCTCCCTCCCACCCCAAGCCAGATTGATCCAATGGTTAACTGCCCTCCCTGTGCATAAAGTTTCCGTATTTCTACTCCTAGCCCGTGGGCCACGTAACATGTATGAAAACGAATGACATGTTCGCAGCTGCTGTTGGCGCCACGTTTTCCCTCTCAGTCTGCTGATCTAGACACCCAACTGAGACCAGGAGCTTGCTGGGTGCTGTGCAGATACAGAGACAGTCCCTGCTCTGAAAACGTACCATGGAAACAGGGCAGGCAGCCAGAGGCAGTGTTATTAGCCGCCTCCCTCAGACAGAGGGGAAAGGGAAATGCAAGGAGATGAGACCTAGATTCTTCCCAAAATGCCCATAGGAGTTAGGCACTCTCACATATTCCTCCCAGAACAGAAGCGCTCGGTACCACACACGGGGTTTTTGCACGGCAGCCCTGCCGGACCGTGTCACTGTGTCGTTCACGGCGCAGTAATAGGTGGCGGAGTCGCTCAGTTCGGCGGCCGCTTTCCACAGGTGGAAGGAGTCTGGTTTTCTCTCGGCTTTAGCGTCGAATCCCCTCCTGCGCCCCTCATCCGAGTCCTGGCTGCCCGCGTCCCTCAGGAAAAGCTGCAGGGGCCGGCCGGGGCGCTGCACGTACCAGAAGGGGGAAGGGTACCCGGATACCTCGTAGGTGCAGTTCAGAAGCACGGGGTCCCCCTCAGAGACTTAAATGGGTCCTGTCGCAGGGGTCACCAAGTCCCCCTCGATCCGCTCTGCGGGGAGGAGAAAACAGAGCAGAGCCACTCAGGGGCAGCGCACTGAGTCCATGGCCTCTCAGGGAGTGTAAACTGCAGTCGCGTACTGAATTCAGAGCGGATCCAACATGCCCATCATTGGTGAACAATCCACCCCCAGCGCCTCTTGGACACGGTGCGCTCCAGGGAGGCTGGCAGCTGTCACTCACCGAGCGCCGCGTCACCCGGCTAGGGGGACCCCCTGTGAGAATCTGACCTGAACCTCTCTGCAGCTGAACCCCAGACTCGGTCCTGTTTCAGCCAGAACCGCCCTTCAGAAAACCACCAAGCCCGAATTTTCTCACTGCCCGTGTCGCCGAACCCACCCCCGGACCCAGGGCGCTTTGGTTCTACCATCCTGCCCGGTTATTGGAATTAGACGTCTCTCCCCCCGGCTTCAAATCCCAGCCACCCGGCGCTGCTGTGCGTCTGTCCGCTGGAATGAGTCTGCCCCACCCTCCGCTTTCTCTTTGTTCAGTTGAAACTCGTGGGTCCCGGATTCCACCTTCCTAGTCTCCATAGAGCCGCCTCGACAACTCCCCAAGAACCCGGGGCAGGCGGAGCGGTGTGGAGACGCTGCGAGAGAGCAGGCTGGGAGGAGATAGAAGCAGCGCAGCGGAAGAGGGAGAAAGAAACACAGCGGCGACATGCTAGTGAGAGGGGGGATAGGACAGAGTGGACACAGCGCTTGGACCCGGGTGGGACAGAGAACAGGGACACGCGTGGGTAGCGCGCAGGACAGCGCCAGTCGGATCTCTCAGCTGGGTATTCCTGCCCTGCAGCGCCGCGCTTTGCCCTAGGAGAGCGCGAATATCATCGGTCCCCCAGGACGCGGGCCCTGCCCGATCGCAGGGCGCGGAACAAGCTCATGTCCCGGCCCGGGCCCTAAAGGACGGAGCCGAGCGCAGACAGAGATTGTCGCTCACTGAGTAGAGATGCGACTGTCACCACCGAGACCCAGACCCGAGCCATGCGAGGGCCGCGCGAGCCTTTGCACAGAGCAAACCCCCTTCTCGCGTCAGAGGAGCTGCTCCTCCTCCCGCCGGGCTTCGACTGAGGCAGGAATTGTGCCCTGTAGACACGTCTGGAAACGCGCTTGCGGTCGGTGCGCAGACTCTGCCCGCGCAGCATGAGCTCGGCCCCCGGGAGCGAGTCTCTGCGCTGTGACACCTGCCCAGGGGCGCTGCCAGTGGGGGGAGTGAGGGGATCCATTTCCGAGCACCGGGCTGTGACTTGTATTGGCGCAGCGCCCCCGCGTGGCCAAACGTTCCCACAACACCCGGGAGAACTCGCAGGGGAGTTTCTTAATCCTTGGGCAGTCAATCAGCCTTTCCCGCCCAGCCAGAGCGTGTATCCGGGGCCAGTACGAGAGGATGCTCCTCGACAGTCTGTGGGTGTGTGTGGGGGGG